AATCAAAATTGCCGCACAAAAGTATATATTTATGTAAAGCACACATCACAGGCTATTTAACAAAGGGTATTTTGACACTTTTTACATAGCCATTTCGCCACCAATCTCTGCTAAATAGTGTAGTAAAATTGTGTTTTTTTCCTGATTTCTAACATGCACACATAAAACAAGGATTTTTAATGTGTATTTTATAAAGCTGATATATATTACTGCTGTAGAAAACCCCATATTGTGTTCAGCCATATATACTTAGTAAAACAATACCCCCAATCTATGCCTTTGCCACTATCATGTGAAGCTACAGTGCTTTAAAAAAGAGTCCTGACCATTACAGTTTTTACAATTAGAATTTTGATAAATAGATTTGGTGTGTCTATATCACATTTTAGTATAACTATAACAGATAAGGACCAGCGCTTTTTACATAAAAGAAGTATTAAAAACCAATACAATGGGTAACAGATATATTCAGATTAGCTGCTAAACATTCATATGGTGCTTCCAACACCTCAAGTAATAAGATAATCAAAAAACAGAAAAATGTAGCGCTTGTGAAGCTCAATATTTACTTGTATAATAGTCTCTGAGGAATATGTTCGGTATTGGTAACCAAGTGCCTAAAACAGAAAATAATCGTATATAGTGCAGATGGTATATTATGAAAAGATCTCTTTTATAGAAATATAAGATTAAACTCACAAACAAAGAGCTGTAAACTCAGCTCTAGTTGGTATCACTTTTGGATCCGTTTAGGCGATCCTCCCCTTATCAAAGTTTTTTCTGCTGGGTCCGTATGGGTGGTTTTTCCTCTTCTTTGGTTAGTTCCCCATATTGTAGTTTTAATCCTAAGAAGAGGGCAAAAACACGGACGATTGCGCAGCACAATTTCGATTCTTTTATAAAATAGTATAAAATCCCAAAATGGGTACTTACAAGCCTGGAGTCAGATATTATGACTCAATTTTCACGTATTGTGCAGTGTGGGACTGCACTCCCATCAAGCAACGGCAGAGGCAGGTAAGTTAGGTAACTCCAGAATTTCAAATAATATTAAAATTGGCTTTATTTTAAAATAAAAGGGCATAGATATGCCTAAAATCTATTAATAAAACAAATAACATCAATATGTTAAAGTGTAGAAAACCAGAACGCGTTTCGCCACTATCCTGTGGCTTTTTCAACTGGATATATTAATACAATATTACTGTTCGTTAGATACTCTTTAAATACCTGTTTTGGCGGCAAAAGGGTCCGTGCTGGCATCGTAACACGCTATTGTCACCCACAGGCAAAGCGTGTGCGGGTCAAGCCTCGGTCCCGTTTACATACATAATCAGCAAGTGAAATTCCCATGCTGAAATACAATACCGGCAAGTGTAATCATCATTCTGCGATACAACGTAGCAAGCACCTCACATCATTAAACGGCAAAATCAGTCTCTTTGTGATCTTGCCGTCAAATACTTATCAAAAACCATTCCAAATATATCTTTTTAGTTCATCACTTATCGAAAGTGTTTTTAAATATTGTCCATACACATATTTGTTAATTACTTTAACCTGTGTTCTCTCTGGATGACGGTATCAGTTTTCACTTATCAAAAAGACATTTTTGTTGTAATAAAACAGCTTATCCATTATATCAAAAAATGTGACATCTCATATAATAATTGTTATTCCACTTATTTCTCATCAAAACTGTTCTTTCACTTATCTCTCATATTTTCACATCCACCTTCTTCTTTTCTTATTCCATCCTGTGTCCGATGTAATAAAGTTCATGCGAACAGAATCCCTTAGATAACCAGGGAATGTGTATTATACATAAACAGAGAATGTATATTGCACATAATTCAGATAATCCATCCAGCTCCATAAATCCAAAAAACATAAAAACCTTAAGAAGCATAAAACTTATATATAAGAAATAAATAAAAATATCCCTATACAATCCAAAAGACATGTACGAATTATAAAATATTCATAAAAAGTGACATAATTCGAAATCTGAGTTTAAGCCGTAGGGGATCAAAGTATTTAATTTATAAATCCACTCCATTTCTAGTTTACCCAACTCTCTAATAAAATCCCCCCCTCTCCAATTTCTGTTCAATTTATAAATTCCCATAAAAATCAAACCTTCTGGTTTCTGATTATGAAATTTTTTAAAATGGTATGAAACACTATGTTGCTCAAATCCCATTTGGATTTTATAAATATGTTCTCTAATTCTTATATGCAAAGGCCTTGTTGTTCTTCCAACATATTTAAGTCCGCATGGACATATCAAGAGATAAATAACATTTTTAGTGTAGCAAGTCATGAATTGTTTTATTGGAATAGTGACATCTTTATTAGTAATTATTTCCTTTATTATCCTTCTGTTGCACCCTGGTTTTTTGCATGCTGTGCACTGTCCACATCCATAAAAACCTTTTTCATCTTTAAATAACGTGGGGGGATGATTCTTTTCCTTTATAAAACTCCTTACCAATGTATTTTTTAGATTCTTTGCTCCTCTATATATCATTCTAGGTTTCTCTGGAAGAATTTGTTTAAGGGTTGGGTCCTGTAATAATATAGGCCAATATTTATTTACAATTTTGCGTACTTGATGGTTACTTGTGTTATAGTTACAGATAAACGGGACATCTTGTATTCCTTTATCCGTTTTTGTTTTATAGGTCAATAGTTCTTTTCTTTCCCTATCTCTAATCTCCATTCTTGAGTTTTCCAATTTGAATGCATCATATCCCTTA